TCTGGATTGATGTTATGAAGGTTTTCTTTACCACGGAGAGGAACACGCTCTCATCCAGCTCTATTGTCCTCTGTAGATGACTCTTTTATGTCGCAGAGCTCATTAGTGTTTTTCTCCTTCCTCTGAATGCACCAAATTCTTTATTTGGTCACTTCTTATATTTTTCTATATCTCTGTGATATATTTGATTTCTTTCTTAAAACACAAAATTCCCAGTTTCATTTATACAGAGAGGCAATGGCTTCCAAGTACAAACATTATTGTTGGAAGACACTCACGATCCTTTACCTGCTTAAGAGATGAAAAAATAATAAAGGAATAACTCATGCTTGTTCATGAAGAAGCTTTTTGGTCAGTAGCTCAGTTAAGTTTAAGACAGAAAAATATGACGAAGAACAGAATTATCTTTACTGTGAATCAGTATGTCCTCAAATGACAACGAATGGTTTGTACTAACCCCTTATAATTTCCTTTGCTCTTAGCTAGACTGCTCTATAATAAATGGACAAAAAACCAAAACCAATTCCTATGCCCTATGCCCTGTGTACATACTGTCATGTCATAACCACTGACGTTTGAGTGTTCCTCACTAATCGTAACACAATCTTCCTGATGTATCCCTAATGAAGTAAACTGTTTTCGCTTCAGTGACACTACATATTATTAATTTTCCTGTTAATTTCAAGGTAGATTTTTTTGTCATGTCGCAAAAAAGGGTAACATGCCATTTGAATAACATACATGAATAATTCAGTGGATGGGGTCTGCACGCTGAGGCAGAACTTAAAGATACGAGAGATTCAGGGTGTAATTGGAGAGGAAGTGTGTTTATTATGCTCCGCAGTTGGTTTGTAGGATTGGAAATGGGGATGCTGGCAATCAGGATGGGAAAAAAAACATGTGTGTGTGTGTGTCAGTGTTAACAAGAGAGACAAATAGGACACACAAATAGGAATGGAGAGAGAGAGAGAGAAAGAGGCAGGCAGGTGCATCACTAATGGCTTTTTAAAAAGGTTACAGCATAGAGCTCTTCTTTTCTAATGGGGCTCTGGCTGTGCTTGAGCAATTTCCGGAAAAGATAATGTTGTTGAGAGTCCAGAGAGTTGTGTGTATGTGTGCGCGTCTTGACGTTAACAAGGTTGACAACCACAAATTCAAAGGAGCACAAAGAGGAGGCGGGAAGAGATTGGGGCAATTTAGTGAGACAGACAAAAAGAGAAATTGTCTGTGTCTATATTTCAGAGTAATTGTGCCACTACAATACATTTATTGGCTTGATGACTGACGCCCACTGTGGGCCATCAGAAGTCTCAAGTGAAAAGATTTTAAATAATTTAGTTTTTGTTCATGTTTATCTTCTTTATTTGCCATTTGAGATCACAGATCTTGTAAATTCTTCTGAATGCTTCTGTCTTGCATTAGGCATGGTAAACACTGCTACCTTGTGCCAACAGCCTGCAATTACAACATCTTCTAATAGGATGGTCACGCAGGAGGTAAATCCCCAATCAGTTATTGTAATGATAGACCTGTTGAGTTGGGAAAACATCACTAAATGTATCAAGGATTTATTTAAGGCCATGTTTTTTTATGGCCTTGGATCTTCAGCGCTCAAATGCTTTGTCAATATAAGGACAGATACATATTAATTTAAGTTTAAGTTAGAAAGTAGGTTAGGAGTTAATAACTTTTCTAGTTTAATCAAATAATATTACTTCAGTTTATAATTTATAGGTTAGAAATACATTTTGTGTGTGTGTGTATGCGTGTAAATAAATATTAATATCTAAACTTTACCAAGTCATAGAGCTAAGAAAAATAAACAGATCCAATGTTGTTAGCACGGTTTACTCAAAACAAAAAGGCTTCTTGTATGAGGAGCTTCATTGTTCTCCCTGTGAAAAAACAGTGAAACAGTTTTGTTCAACGGCTGATTCTAATTTGATGACACGTCTCTGGTTTGGTCCTTTGATAGACTTGGTACCTTTGCATCACACCTACCAGCACCTGTCTTCTGTGACCTGAATCGGATAGATTTAATATTCAAAATGGGTGGATAATACAAAATCCACTAGAAGTAAATGAAAGAAAGCAATGAATACTACCCACACTACTTAAATATGATTTAAAAGGGTTATCAGAATCCGACTCAGAATTACTTTTAATTATTTGATCATCAAGGGTGTGAGTACCTCAATAAAAGCAGATGTTAAATCATTTTGCTGGTTCAAAACATTCAGGTGTGTGTTAAGAAAAGGCATTAGCAATCATCTTAGAGAAGTATCTTTTCATGCTCATTAGTCTGGAAAGGGTCAAAAGTTAATTTAAAACAGGACTCCATTATACAGTAAGAAGGGTCATTCAAAAAATGAAATAAAAATTCAATGGCAGTTGCAAGTCTGGAAGTCCCTGCAATTGCCATTTGGAATTGGACACCTTGCCGTCATCAAGTCGATATTAGTCCAATTTTACGACCAATTGCCTAACAGCTAATTTGGTTGAAGTTGGATCATGCAACAACAATTTAATTTCAAGCACAGCAACTAATCGTAATGAATGAAAAAGAAAAGAACCATGTCCCAATGGGTCACTCACATTCCAGGCCTCAAACTGGACTGGAAGTACTAGTGAAACATTTTAGAGATTTGTCCAAACACCAGCAAACCTCAATAATAAACAGATAAATCATAAATATTCTGATATACTGATATCTTAGAGAAAATTATTACTGATGTTGTTGCTGCTCAAGGTGATTGCAAAAGCTGCCGAATCATGGTGTCTGTTTAGTTTTTTAGAAATCACTTTATCAATTAATGGAAAAGACTTAATATTGAGTTTTTGAGATTGACCAAATGTCTGTATTTTTTTGTATTTCTTATTCAAAACCTTAGAATCGGAAGATGGTGTGTTTTTCATTTCACATGGAAGTACACAACGGTATGTGAACTTGCATGAATAGTTTCCTTATTTCAAATCTTTACTGTCTTACTTAAGAATCTAATCCATTCTTTTCTATCTCCCAAAATCCTTAATATGATGTGTAATTACAGAAATATGACAGAAGAGGCTCAATTCCCTTTGATCTCCTTCAGTCTATTTTATTAGCGTAGATATATGGTGGAGAATCTGTAAAGAAATGTCGATTACACCTGTTGATTAAACCAAATATTTGACATAAGGCAAAGGCTAATTCAAAGCAAGTACTTTTTGAGAAGGTTTGTGGCTCCTTGCATAACATCACTGATGGATCCCCATTAAAAGATTCTCACCAAAAAGTGTGATAATTGTAATTTATTTTGGTAAATAAAATACAAAACTTAGAACTTAGAGACTTGAAACATGAAAATAACAATATTTGTACAGATAAGATGTGCTCATTCTCTTCAGTTGTTTCCGAAAAAGAAAAAAACTGGTCTGAAAATGAAAATGTTTGTTATCTCGGAACTATAATAAGCACCTTCTGCTATAACAGGCATTGTTAGGACGCCTTGGCAGGGGTCCTTCAGAGGCCTGCACTCACACACAAGCACAAGTCGATAATTATAGCAGCTACTTTTGACAGTTTATCTTAAGAAAACAGATTGCCAAATTAACAGTTGTGCTGCCATACAATGTGCTCATTATAAATACGCACACACACATCCCAATAAGCACACGTAAACGCACTCACACATGCACAAACACACAGTGAATAAATCCATTAAAATATCTTCTGTAAAACCGATTTCAAAATAGTAGCATAACCTGCAGTGTCCTTTGAATTCAGCGGAATAGAACGGGTTGTGTGCACTCAGATCGTATGGAAGTTAGACTCCTCAAACATCCGCACTGCGCTAGTCCCCCACTTTTTACTTTAGATCCCAGCACTGCACGGCGTCATGTGGCTTCACATTGTTCACACACTTCAAACCGAACAAGAGCGTTGTAAATACTCTGTAAAGAAACTTATGTACTGTACAAAATTATACAAAAACCTAGAACTCACACCTCTGTGTTACACACAAAGGTATGTGCATTACCTTTATCCAGTCAGCCTGATGAGGTGATGATGGACAGAAGTAGGGAAATACTGGTGACGACTGAACTGGGTGAGTAGAATGAAACAGTACTGAACCGCTCCTCAGAAACACCACCTGATATAAATGTACGAAATATAATGTACCTAAATTATATATATAATTTAGGTCAATCAAATAGGTTCATAGTATTGTAAGCAATTCTTAAACTTTAAAAAAAAAAGTCACATTTGGACTTGTGGACACCAAATGAATAATCTTCCCAAACACAAACACCTGAACAATAAGTAGTACATATGGGGTAAGACTGGAGTCCCAAAACAAATGTGGTATCACAAGCACAGCTCTAGTGTGTAAAAAAATCTCTCGCCTATCACCTCACGCAATCAAAAGTAAAACACAAAAAGAAGATACAAAGCAGTTTACTGAACACTAAATCAGTTAATCTGTGCCATAATTTACAGAAATGCTTCCCTCTCTTACAGCAAATCTGTACCTTAATCCTCGACTATCCCTGCTATCTAATGACACATAGGTCTCTATTTTTTTAATTTGTGTCCTTTGCTTGTTTCCATTTATTGTCCTGAGTATTAAAAAATGGTCTTTAGGAAAATCCACTTGTGACCCTCAGCTCAGCTGAGTGTTTTTTTTTTTTCTTCTTTGATTGGAAATATCAAGTCATCACCAGCCAACAGTCTATAGAGTCGCTGTTTAACCGCACAAGGTAACAGGACACAGTATTGCTTTAACAGCTCTGGCTTTAAGGAGGCTTTGCGTGGGGGGGTCATTACCACCCAGAGGAAAATGAGCCCGTCTTCAGGGACAAACAGGACAGCACAGAGAGGGAAAGAAAGTCTATATTTTCCTGTTGGGCCTGATCGGAGGACAAAATTCAGTCTCACACCTGGGTGGATTTGACTCGTCGCAGAGGTTTTCGTCCTTCCGGGTGGGCGGGGCATGGCATGGGGCATTCAGTGGGCAGGTCTAGACTGCGCTGGTGAGGCAACGTCTTGGCGGGAGGAGCACATCTGGAGGGACGGGGGACGGGGTTGGCTGATGGTCATGTGATCTCAGAATACGGTAACCCTGGAGCCTGTACGTAGGAGAGAATACAGGCGGGAGAGACACGGAGAGGGAATTGGCTGCATTAAACCTCTTGAAAAATGATTAGATGTCAAAGCGTAAAAGATTCTAGTGACAATGTCCAAAAAAGGACTGAGAATTCAAAGTTAATTGAACAGAAAAGACTGTATTAAATTAAAAACACTGCAATTACAGTGGGGGAAATAAGTATTTGACCCCTTGCTGATTTTGCAGGTTTGCCCACTTACAAAGAATGCCTATTTTTCCTGATGGTTATCAATTTTTAGAAATTCATATGATGTGATTTTCTGGAATTTTCTTTGGGATTCTGTCTTTCACTGTTAGAATGTGCATATGATTAAAGTTATAAATCGTTGCATTCTTTGTAAGTGGGCAAACCTGCAAAATCAGCAAGGGGTCAAATACTTATTGCCCCCACTGTATTTGTCTCGCCTCATCGCAAATTTCAAATACATTTCTGAACCCCAACCCTTACCTGGAGGCCACTTAACTTTTCAAGTGGGCTTTCCACACGGGGCAGGCTGAGCAAAGGCAGTCCAACTGAGGGCTCTGAACGCTGACAGTGTGGGGGTGGAGGTGGAGGATGTGGATGCGGATGAGGCCCTGCTATCTGGGTTGGCTTGAAGTTGTTAATCACACATGACACCTGATGGATGGCAAAAAAGATAGAGCAAGAGGAAAAAAGAGGGGAGAGATATTGCATGAAGTTCAAAGTGTGGCACAAACTTTGGTTAAGTTAATAACTTGTAAAACTTAATAAGTTGAGAGCCATTGGGAGATTATTTTTTTATTATTTAGGTTTATTTTCTGTACATCACTAAACTATGTCGAGTAAAGAGAAAATAAGAATTGTTAGGTTGTTTTAAGAATAAAGAAATAAAAAAACAAACGCTGGAGTGGCTCATTTTGTGAGCAATTTTAACACATTCAGGTTAAAATTGCTAAGGTATTATGATTTTTTAAAGATGCTTTGGAAGAAACGGATGCTGAGTGAGAGCATTATTCTCATAGAACTAGCTTCACTTGTAGATGTTTATGTTAAATAGTTTATTTAGCTCAAGAAAGTGAAATGATTGCATCGTCTAAGTTGGCAACCACAGGTGGTTTTAGGGTTCCTGCGGTAAATTAAGAATTGTGTCTTGTGAATCAGCATCATATAATGTCCTACCCTGGTCGTTTTAAGAGATTAGCTTGAGTTAACACATTTTTTTATCTTTTGCAGTGCTCTTGCTTTTTGGTAGCCATCACAGCCACCGCAAAGTACAAAAATTTAAGACATGCTAATTCATTAGTAAATATTGGTGTAATGTGTGGTACACAGCACACCACAAACAATGCAAAAGAGTCTTCTTCAACATTTTTACGTACACATTACTGGTAATTTAATAGAGTACATTTCTATGACAAAACTGCTGAAACCCCCTCAAAGTGGGGCCACCTTTTTGTTACTGTCACAAAGGGCCTGTTTGTGTGGAGGGGAGGGAAGGATTCTAAGCAAAGGGATCAGCAGTTTCAGGTGGGATTGCATGCATTATCCTTTATACCCTCTGCCTCTTCTCTTTGCTTCCTCTCACCAGGAATGCAGCGATGGCCCCTCCCGTCACAAATCCAGCCAGGATGTCATTCCAATGGTTTCTGTGTTCAGTCACCCTGACTACTCCCACCAGCACAGCCAGAGAGAGCAGCACCAAGCATATGGTGGGCTTCATCAGTCGGGTTCCTTTGGTCCGGAACATCAGGGTCACATACATCTTGAAAAATACAAATATATGTAATATATAATAATAATAATAATAATAATATAATATAATATAATATAATATAATATAATATAATATAATAT